TCTCTACTAGTACATCTATTCTGATAATTCCCCTACGAATCCAATGTTTTTTTCTCCTTTTCCTCCCAATGTTACACTGCAAGTCAAAACATCATAGAACATTCTGAGCCTCTTATCATAAGCTGCTTTAAAAGCTTGATTCTTAACCATACTGCAGGCTTGAACCATTAGGTACCGCATTTTTGACTTTTGAATTCACTAGGACCGCTATTGAGAGTCACCCACTCTAACATGGTCCCGAATATAATCAACTACAAGGCTCCGCTAGCACATGACCACCCTCTCAAAGAAGCACTCGGCCGAATCACCTTTCTTGCAACTCACTTCTACGCGAAGCATACTTCCTGAGTCTTCCCAAATCCTGAACATGAATTGATGATGCCAATTATAGAACACATTCTTCAATTCCCTTGCTCAAATTACTATTGATGTTCTCTTTCCTTAGCCGAAACAACTTACCAATACGTCGATAACCCGAATCCTCACAAGAAGATAATCATGCAACTCAATCATAGGCGGTGGGACTCTCCCACTCAGCTTGAAGCCACTATTACACAACTTTGGAACCCACCAAGATTCCTTACCCCTTATTGACATGACCTTGCATAGTTAAACCGCCAGATTCCTCGAAATCTTTCCTTTAGCATTTTATGAACACTCTGAATCTCTACCAACATTCACATATTAAACCTCTTACCGGATAGCAAGTAAAATCCTTTGCATGAGCTTCACCAACTACGCGATCGCTGACCTGCTCATAGGAGATGACCCACCTGAGCCTATGCTCATTCACCAGCTGCACAAGTCCATTCACTCCTCATGGACATCAACTAAATGTGCGACAATATCCTCCAATTCAAAGTCATGTTGTATCCTTCTTCATATCAAGCAGCTCTTTTCCGTCATATCAAATATCCCGCCGTTATGCTAGCCAATATTTCAAATTAAGCTTGTAGACCTAGTCATTGTCCACCATGAATCCCAAATCACTCTAAACTCCTCTAAAGGCACGTAGTCATCCTACCACAGAACCCCTGTGTTGCTTGCCACTCTCCCACTTTGGTCAAACTCACTCCTTTAAGCAACTACTCGACTCTTATTTCCCACACTTGGCCTTCTAGGAGTTTAATCACCATAAGACACTTCCCAAATACCCTTCCTTATCCTTCGCTGCCCAGTCAAATACGCAGGAGGAAACATCTCGCACCATATCTGCAGTACCATTTCGATTCCTCAATTCCCGATTTATAATAAGGGTTTCGCGTCGCATAAGATTGAGTAAGAAGGAAGCAAGGGCATAGGACTCAAAGGAATCAAACCACACGATGAGGAATCAAGAAGGGGAGTGTTCCTAACAGCCATGTAGCCTGTCGAAGATAAATACAGACGTCTCCATACCGATCCGCAAGACTCCACTAGACTTTCTCATGACTCGTGAGACCTAAGGGAACCTAGTGCTTTGATACCATGTTATCACGACCCAAAATCTACAAAGGGTTGTGATGGCGCCGAACACTATTGTAAGTCAAGCCAACACCATTTAACTAGAAATTTCTCGTTTTAGGTATTTCTGAAATCACTTCTTTTATATATTTAAACAATAAATAATAAGTTCCACTGAATAAATAATGATGTCTTTACAAAACTATTGAACAATCCCAAAATCATCCCAGAACCCGGTGTCACAAGTGCATGAGCAATTACTAGGAAATCCAATAAAGTACAATAGCTGCCCGGAATACAAACTTGGACAGAAAGTAAATATAATACACTGAAAGGGACTTTGCTGGCTGCGGGTCGTCTCAAGGGATGCAACTCACCTAAGTCTCTGTATCATCCGTACTGCTACGCCCGTTAGGCCACTAGAAGTACATGTACCTGTGCAACAAAAATGCAAAGCAAGTATAGCATGAGTACAAAAACAACGTGTACTCAGTAAGTATCCCGCCTAACCTCGAAGAAGTAGAGGCAAGAGGTCCTTTGACACTTACTAGTGGTCCAATAATAAAATACCAATTGTACAATAAATCAAGGATTTCTATAAACATGGCTATAACTCAATAGAATGGAGCAAGTAAACAATTCTTTTATTCATAGGGAAATTTCCAAATCCGTTTTCATCATTTATGCATTTATTCTCAATTCGGGAAAGCAATGTCCTCATTTATAAATATCAAGGCAAGCAATACAAGCATGCACAAATTATGCCGAGGTCGTACGACGCGATCCAATAAATATTTAAATTGTGCACTACCAGAGGGTCGAATGGCGCGAAACATAGATGCATCTATTACCCCGCGCGTGAATCATACATGCGACGCAGTCAAATATAAATTAACAATCATCCTCCTCGTGAATCATACATGTGACATAGGTACACATAGAAACACACATTAAAATAGTCAGTCAAGACTTCATCACGGAAACAGTTATTCAAGGAGGTGTAAATTTCTCTTTTACAAGTCAAGAAGATGAAGTTTAATTCTTTTAGAAAGTCATTTGACACTTCGGTATGATTTAAGCAATTTAAACTATCAATAAGGTTACAATTATCACAAGTAAAACATGATTTTGGGTCCTAGACTACCCGTACATAAGCATGATAGTAGCTACGCATGGACTCTCTTCACCTCGTGCATACTTAGCCCCCACAAATAGGAGCACATAACCAATTAACTCACCTATGAGGACAATTTCCTTTTACAAGGTTAGAAAGGAGACTCACCTCGCTCCGAAGTTCCATAACCGTTATTCCATGCCCTTCCGAAAACTCAAATCGATGCGCATTGCTCCAAAACTAGCCAATAATTATGTAAACTCATTAATATATGATCAATTACTCATTATAATCCAATTTATAACAATTCCAAACCCCCATCGAAAAGTTGACAAAATTAACCTCGGGGCCACATGCCCGGATTCTGAAATTTTTCGAAGATAAAGTCTACCCATAACCTCACGAACTCAAATATATAATTTACTCCCAATTTCGTGCCCAAATCGGGGTCAAATTCCAAGAATACCAAATTTCTACGTTTTTCTTTAAAACCCCAATTTTCACTAATTTCCCATGATTTTCCATGTTAAAATCTAGATATAATTCAAGTAATTAACTTGCAATAGATGGGAATCACTTACCTTGACATGGATGATGAAAATGGAGCTCCAAAATCGCTCCTAGGTTGGCTCCCATGGAGGAAATGAGATGAAATGATCCAAATCCATTTCTCTACACTTATACACTGCCCAGACGACTCCTCTTCACGTTCACGAGAACCCCGTCGCGTTCGCGAAAAAGAAAATTTCCAAAAATTATTTTTCAAACTCTTCTCAGACAGCCTATAGTATAATGGCCATAACCTTTTGTACAAAACTCCAAATGACAAATGGTTTATATTTTTGAAAACTAGACACCAAGATCTACAACTTTCATGTTTTGGAAATTTTCCAATTCCTTATAGATTTTGCGATATAAGCTGCCAAAGTCAGCCCTCTGCAACACAAATTTCTTCTTCATCTTCCCGGACAGCTTGTAGTGTACTAGCCATAAGTTTTCGTACACAAATCCAAATGCTAAATGGATTACCTTTCTGAAAATTAGACACAAAGTTGCTACAACTTTTGTTTTTGGGTAATCTCCAAATTCCTTGTAGATTGTGAGATATGAGCCTCCGAAGTAAGACCTGCGCAACAGAAATTCTTCTTCTTCGGGAACGCGAGACTACTTTCGCGAACGCGAAGAACAAAATCTGAGAAGCCAAATCCTTCTTCGAAAACGTGAGAGGACCCCCGCGGACGCGAAGAACAACATTAGACACCAGCATCAGTAGTTCCAACACAGCCCAAAATGCTCCGAAACCACCCCGAAACACACCCGAGGCCCCCGGGACCCCGTCCAATCACACAACTCAGTCCCTTAACATAACACGGACCAGCTGCTCAAAGCCTCAAATCACGTCAAAAAACGCTAAAATGATGAATCGCACTCCAATCCAAGCTTAGTGAACTTTAGAATTTCAAGCTTCTATATTCAATGCCGAAACCTATCAAATCACGTCCGATTGACCTCAAATTTTGCACACAAGTCATATTCAACATTACGGACCTACTCCAACTTCCGGAATCAAAATCCAACCCTGATATCAAAAATTCCACTTCCGGTCAAACTCCTCAAAAACCTTCAAATTTCTATGTGTAGTCAAATAACTCCAAAATGACCCACGGACCTCCAAATTCACTTCCGTTCGCGCTCCCAACACCATAATCACCATACGGAGCTATTCCCAGGCTCGAAATCCAAAACAGACATTGATAACACTAAAATGCACTTCAACCCAAACTTATGAAATTCTTCCAAAAATGTTAACTTCCACAATAGGTGCCGAAATGTTCCCGGGTCTTCCAAAACCTAATCTAGACATAAGCCCAAGTCCGAAATCATCATACGAACCTGCTGGAACCTTCGAATCCCGATTCTGAGGTTGTTTACTCAAAAATCTAATCTTAGTCAATTCTTTCAGCTTAAAGCTTCTGAAATGAGAATGCTCTTTCCAAATCAACTTCGAACTTCCCGAAATTCAATTTCGACCATGCGTACAAGTCATAATACCTGAAGTGGAGCTGCTCATAGCCTCAAAATTTTGCATGACGCGCTAGAGCTCAAAACGACCGATCGGGCCATTACAAAAATACTGGAGAAAATACTTCCAGGTGTTATATCTCTAGTAGAATATACAGGAGACAAAATTTTAAAGTCTTTAACTCTAACAGATTATTCTAGATATAACTTCTCCATTGTTTTACAGTTCTTCATTATAATATACTAGCTTATAGCGCTTCATAAGTAGCATTTCCAGCATAATATACAGTAACCAAACAAAATAAGAACTGCAACTAATTATACTAGAATATCATCAACAAAAATTATGTAATCCAACTTAATATGCATAAAATCACACCATAAAAAATATAAACTCCAATCCACATTATACATAAAAATATAAAGACACACACACATGCTAAAAATAAATATATATTCTAGTATATTAATTTACATTTCAATCCAAAATATCTTTTAAATTACAACAAGAAACAAAAACTATCAATTGGTCTTTGTGTTGCGCCTTTTTGAAACGCAAGGTTTGTCCAATCTTCCAGTGGCCTCATCTTCACTAACGAGATATTCCAGCTGCTTCTTCTTACCATAATAGTATAATAATGCTCCATATCTGGTTCGAAGACGTGTAGGATCAAAGATGTTCTTGTCAACAGGTATCTTCTTGCCTTCAATGAAATACTCCGCAAATGCAGAACAATATATACCACAATCACTACATACAAAACACATATTAAGAAAGAATAAGATAAACAATAAAGGAGTAAAAACTAAAGAATATGATATAAAAATACATCGCAACTTACGTTTTTTCCTGTTGAGGCAAGTTATCCACTGATGTAAGAGCAAATGGTTCAGATAGATCCTTTTTTCCCAAGTAATGTGATATATTCGTTGCAATGTCACTTCTTTGCTGATAAAATGTAGTAGTGTTGAGCAACAATGGTATCATTACAGCAAATGAGTGCAATGCTTTATGAATTACAACATCATGTCCTGGGGATCTCATTGAGTCATATATGTATATGCAGCAATCATGCAAAGATAGAACGCCCAACACCCAATGCCATGCATATTTTACATTGATTGGCATAAGAACATAATCAACGAAAACCCAAGGGGTGTTACAAAGAATGTAAAACCCAAGCACATACTCTCTTAATTTCTTTATCATATCAAATATCTGATTTTTTGCATTCATGCTATCCTTGATTGATTTATTGTACACCTCTTCAATGATAGAACTGAAATAGTTGTCGGTGGTTGTCATCCTTATGTTTCCATATTTTGCTTTCTTCCGAAGGTAATAGAATATAACATCAATATGCTACAAAAATAAAACAGACATCAATCGAATATAAACTCACATACCGATACTAAAACAAAACAAAAAAAATAATGTATGTTTACATACCATGTCATTAATACCTATACCAGCATAATGAAGTTCAAAAAACCATGTCCTCTCAGCTATAGATGCAATTCCAAGATCAAACTGTTCCTCCAATATATCATCCTTCTTTTCGCACACCTTATTTCTAAAAAGATTTAATAAATATATAAAAATAATAGTCCAAACTATCATTACACAGAAAATACAATCAAAACATAAAGCAATCTCAAAAAATTACCTGCGAGTTCGAATTGACTTTGTCTGAACAAACTTACTAAACTCATCAATAATTGATACAGGAATTTCTTCTGTAATTGACGTTTTAAAAGGATGATCCCCTTTCACAATAGCACGAGGTACAACAGGTTTTCTCATTCTTGTTGCATCTTCTTCACTAGAGACGTCGAAAACCTCATAAGCTTGGACACCTTCACAACTTGACTGAATAGGCAAGGAAGAAGTTGCAGCATCTTCAGGTATAGAGCATTTTGGAATATTTGACATTACAGGAGCAACACCAATAGAAGTTAAATTATGAATCTGAGAGTCGGTCATCTCAACCTCAACATTGAATTATAGAGATGTCATGATTAAAGCCCTAAGCCTTGACAAATAATACTACACAGATTAGAGATGTCATTATTATACCAACACAAAGCTGGTTTAACAATCAAGAAAGAGTAAAGTAATTAACCTTAAAATTTCTGTTGTTTGTGTGTAAACTCACCTAGACAACACAAATGATCGGCACATTTCTCTAGAATTACTCAGAACAATTTTTTGAATAAATGCTTATGCACCACACCATGAAAAAGACAGATGATATGACTTTCTTCCCAAAAAATTTGAATCTTTGGCATAATTCTCTTTACACTTCTTCCAACTTCCATTCTTTGCTTAGCCTAAGGAATTATTTGCGAAAATGGTCTTTCCCTTTTCCATATAATAGAAATGTACAACAACAACAATAATCCAGTGTAATTCCACAAGTGGGGTCTGATGAGGGTAGAGTATACGCAGCTACCTTTAAGAAGATAGAGAGGCTATTTCCGAAAGACCTTCGGCTCGGGAGGGGAAAAGGGGAGGGACAATAACAAACAAACCGATCTGACCGAAGCGAAAATACAAAAATAACAATAGGTAATGCAATCAGAAAACCGAAACAAAGACAACAACAAGTAGCAACGGAAGTCTAGGGGTACGAAAAACACCCAAGTGGTGAATAAAAGCTATTGTTACAAACAAGGACGACACTCGGCTACCTAATAGAAAAGTAATTTTAATTATAAGGCACCAAGAAAATGTATGGCAACTATTAACTAAGCATCACAAACACCATAAAATCTAGCCAAAATCTTATTCGACTACTAGTTCCAATCAAAGACCCCATGAACTTTGAGAAGTTCACTCTGTCTTTTACACTACCTTTTGGTAAACCCATCTCACACGGTAATTTGACATCTTTAGAAAACCAGCGCTATTGACTACATCTGTACTTTGTGCTAATCGCCTACATCAATAAAATCTCTTATTTGTATCTGAATATCGATAACCATTTCTAATGCAGAAATGTCTATTAAAAAATGACTAGTCCTTGAATATTAGCTTGATAACTTCGCCTGCGGGACAAAGTGAAATCTCCTTTCCCATTTTTTCCATCCCACAAGAAGTCTCTCATTAACTTTCAAACTTACCCACTGAAAATGGAATTGCAATTTTATAACATGATTATTTTATAAGGTAATGTAAGAACTTATAGCATGATTCTTCCCCTTTTTGACAAGTATCGTCATCCATCCCTCCAATCTTCTCTCAAATCTATAAACCACTGGTTGCCAAAGTTCACCATATTTGAACTTTTCACCTAGGATATCAATATCTCCAATCTATGTCTGACTTAGAGTACAACAATAACAACAACCCAGTATAATCCTACAAGTGGGGTCTGGGGAGTGTAGATCGTACGCAACCCTTACCCCTACCCTGGGGGTAGAGAGGTTGTTTTCGATAGACCCTCGACAGAAGAAGATGAAATGAGACAATAGAATCGTAACAACAACATACGCCAAAAAAATAGTACCAGCGAGCTAAGCATCGGAAAAACGAATGGAAAAGGCAATATCAATAATTAGTAAAGTGGCAAGGTACTAGGAAACCAGAGCAGAAAAATAGTACGAACACAACCTGTCCACTAACAAATGGCTGACTTAGAGTAATCAAATCAAATCAACATAAATCATGTGCATCAATCAACAGTTTTGACTTAATAATACTGTTAAAAAATCAGTGATTTGTTTGGAAAGAGCTCAAACCTGGAGCTCCTCACGATAGTAGAGCTTAGACACCTTGGCTAACCTTTCTAGCTCATCAGCATGAACCCCAGAGAGTAGAAAATTTGGACATTTTCTTGGAATGATGCTTTCGTTCTGCACTCCCGCAGCTTGTGTGGTTGGCTTTGCAGCATGAGTCAAGGAAGTTGTGTTGTCATGACATAACTGGTCACCTCCACTGGATTCTTCACAATGGCTATCAGCAACCTTGGGAGATTCAAGCTGATCACTGGAGTAATTCATGTCGTTAATTTCAAGATGCTTTGTGCCAAGACTATTTGGAGATTGGCTGGCTGCAAATGTACTAAGAATTTTCTTAGAATAACATCAACATACGTGAAAATATTACTGCATACAATCAGAGATGCAATAGATCTGTTAAAAAGAATTTAGTTTTATTACCAAGAGTGGTTTCAGTGCCATTGACTTTTGCACCAACTGATTGCTGAAGCACTACACTGTTAATTCTGTGGTGTCCTTCGGATATCTTCATCATGCTTTCTTCCTCAGAGTTATTGGAAACAACTCTATTAGTTAGCACCCTCACATTTGTTAGATTTGTTGTACTGTTAGAAGTTCTTGATGATGTTGTTAGATCAATATTTTCAGGATAGATATTTACTGTATTTCCACTTTTCAGTAATCTGTTTAATGGGTTAAACCACTGTATTGCTACTGCTTCAATATCAGATAAAGGTTTCACACTATGGCATATCTCAAAAGAGTTGAGTCCATCATCTGAAGGAACAGGTATAATTTCAACAGATAATTTCTCTCCCAGTTTTTGTCCAGAAGCAAGCTTGAAACTTCGAAATTGTCGCTCCATCGAGGCCAATAGCATATTCAATATGGTTTGTGGACTCCTGCAATCTGACTTGTTATCTTGGGGTAAAAAGAACTCCAATAGGTATACATAGTCCCCCGTGTAGGAACTCTGCAAACATATAGCAAACGAGCTATGTAATCCAACTCTGTGTGCCACATGTGCCAAGGGGTACTCAGTCATGCTTAACTGTGTGATGTCACTGCAAAAGCATGAACTACGGGTTAAAAAGGCCTTACCAACAACCCCCTGACTCTTCCCTAAGTGAAACATATCACAAGCAGCTCTGAACTCATAGCCTGCTGACGTACATATGCAAAATTGTTCCTCTGTGGTCGTGAATCTTTCAACATTGCTTCTGTCAAGGATAGGTAGCCATGTCTGAGCTAGAGGTAATTGATGTGTTCTGCATATAAAACTCAACTGCTCCTCAATTTCTTTCAGGGCACGTGCTAGCCCTTTAATACCCTGCTAAAAACAGACAGTTGATACAGGAGCAAAGAGATACATTTAGTCTACGATGTTTTTTCCTAGCTTTGGGTATTCAGGCAGATAGCATCTTCATGAACATACCTTCTTGTCGGGGTGGCCATACATGTTTGATGATCTCAAGTCCACCTTCTGTTAAGAACAAGATGCCATGCTCAGAGAAATTGAAAGAGGTTATAAGGATTGAACGAACATATGCCAAACAAAGCTCTAAAGACCGAAGAAAGGGAAGTTCTTTTTAATTTTCTTTTCTCTTCGTCCTTAGAGGTTCTATTCCCAGTTCCACTTCCTACGGTAGAGTGAGGAAAACTAACAGTTGGGCTAAAGGATGGATGTCAATCGATCATCTGAAATAAATACCAAACTGCTTTTAACTTTGTCTTATACCTTGAAACAAATGAAACCTACTTCTTACAGATTTTCTCTTCTACTTCTTATTTAGAGGGAAGTTACAGGCCTGATTGATGGATAAGGTTTCAATCACATGTTTCCCACAGCTAGAAATCATGAAAAAATGTTAAATCACCTCACGACAAATGAAAACTGATACACAATGGTATAGTTGAGGTGCGTATAAACTAGCACGGACACCACTGCTATAAAAAACAACAAGGAAAAGGAAAGGTATCTGCATATTCAGTCATGCACAGGAGGTGTTACAGACCTAATTAAATTAATAAATGTATTTCCTCTCTAACAATATTTACCACATTAAAATCAAGCAAAGTTTCTCTCTCTAGAGGTACAACCTTTCCTTTCTCTACAGTAATTCTAACTCAGACAAGCTAGAAGAGAAAAGAGAGAGGAAAGCCATACCTTAAGCATTTCATAGACCATTTGAACAAGGTCTTGAGAGAAGCTTCCCTTCTTATCCCCTATGATCTCAAGTACTCCAGCGCATTCATTACTAAGCGGCACAAAAACCGGTACAGCCAAATAGTTCCCTAAACCAGCAGTAAAAGCCGAGCTATGCTGAGGAAAATCAGCAGCAGAATAGCGCGAAATATCCGGACTCATTTCAGGCAAACCATGTTTGAACACGCGTCCGGTAGGGCCAAGTTGATTCTCATTCTCAGTTACAATAGAAATTCTAAATTTCAGACACTCTGACCTATAAAAACAAAGTCCTTCATGGAGTTTCGTAAGACCAAACGGTAGGTCACAAGTTGTTAGAAAAAACTGATCTTTAGTAGTCACAGGTGCCCAAAATTGAACCAACCAGCATCCGAAGTTGTCAGAAATGTAGGCATTCTTGAGAGCAGATGCGATTTTCTCCTTAATAGTATCATGATAGATAGTAGTATCAGCAGCTGTAAAAAGGTTGTTCATGATATTAGTCACTTGACCCGTTCAGAAAGATAGATATGTTGCAATCATATCATATTGAAAAACTGGTTAAGTTTCTCAATTGAAACTCCTTGGATGTTCAACATTTAAAAGCGGAAGCAGTTACATAAGCTCAAAGAAATCACGACCCCTTTCTCATTCCGAATCATTTAAAAGTCATTCATCTTATCTGAATAACCAAATATAATCATTATAGAATCCTGGAGAATATAAATTAGTAAGAGATAATGTATGAAACAAATAAGCAACTCCACCAATTTTGCACTCGTTAGACGCATAAAAGAACCAAAAGTAGAACTTTAACATGATTGCATAGATTATAGGATTAATAAACACAAGCTCAAGTTAACAATTAAGAATACTCATGGAGTGCTCTGAAAACAACATGAATGAGAGTCCCAAGTTTGCTACTACCTTCTGCTTCAGAGAATTTTCGCACGTAAAAACATGAATACCTTATAATTATATGTAAAATGTTAAAAAAACAACAACATGAATGAGAGTTATAGTATTTAAAAATAAATGTTTTAAAGTTTTGTAGTATCACTGCTCTAATTTTTAGACCACCAAGACTTATTTAAAATTTAATAATGACATGAATCGATCGTCATAAATTGTGAAAGCTTGGATAGTTGGAGTATACCAAGTCCTTGGCAGCAGTTAACGTTCCAACAATTCGATGAAGAAAAGTACCAAAAAAGTAGCTCCGAGCTAGAGCTTTGATTGATTATCAGTCTATTTTCTTATTCTGATAACATTAAAGTTTAAAACTTTTTGAGTTTTGAGAGAGTACCATAACATATACATGAATTACTAGTTTTTACACTCGACATACTAAACCATGTGTCCCAAAAGGTTTGTCACTTTTCTAGTTTCTACCCTCGTGATTTAAACTAAGTGAACTTTGATTAACCTCAAAAAGTTTAACCTTTCACCATCTGACATGAATGAATTCAGATAGTCCAATTTTTTCCCGAAAATCAATAAGCAAAAAAAGTGAATGAGTGTCACTACTTCTATGCATTGACCAAACACAAGAATCTAGCAAGGCAGCCCAGCACACTAAACTCCCGCTATGCGCGGGGTTCGGCGAAAGGCCGGACCATAAGGGTCTATCGTATGCAGTCTTACCCTATGTTTCTACAAAAGGCTGTTTCCACGGCTCGAACCCGTAACCTCCTGGTCACATGGAAGCAACTTTAGTAGTTACGCCAAGGCTCCGATCTAGCAAGGGGTAAAAACTAAAAGAAAGGACAAAAAGAGAGAACCCTATAAGGCTTCATTCTCCAAACAAGTGAGTTGAGTATCATATAATCTGGAGATTATATATAGTGTAAATACCAATCCAATTGGACATAAAGGGGAAAAGGCACTTACTGCTGGGGAAGACAGAAGGAAACTCGTTGTTGTGTTGGCTCCAAAATACCCAGAGGTCATTCTTAGTGTTAGGCTCAGTGTATTGCAGGGGACATGGCATGTAACTCAATGCTTCGGATACACTACCACATATTCTGAATGCTTCATTTCTTCCTGCCATTTTCACTGTAGCCCAACTATTTAACACTAAGCTTTAATTTGAGATGAATTCAAAATCAAATAGATGCTTACAGTAGATCCCCTTACTGTATTCAAAATCAAATAGATGATTAACACCAACATAAGGATGGAGCAATTGTGCAAAACAAAAGAATGAAAGAAGGAAGGAGCAGAGGATATTCTTTGCCTTTACACAGTAAAGGGAAAACGAGATTTTTATAGGTGTTGGCAAAACAATAGTCAAAAAAATGTATTCTCCCTCCGTTTTAATTCACATGAATCAATTTGACGGAAGCAAGTGTATACCTTGTATCACTGTGTTCAAACTCTTAAAACTTACGTAAATAATATTGAAAAAATATATTTGAGTTATAAATTAAATCTAAGAAAATAAATCGTAAATTTATGAAAATGGTAAATATTAAATTGTTGGTCCTATTTAGCTAATTCACTAAAGGAAGGAATCATGTCTTATAGAATTATCCAATGTTTATGGTTTGTAAATATTAAGAAAATGTGAAAAAGCAAATCAAACTAAAAATACATTGGTACTTCAACCAACGACACCTAAGAAAATAATAAACTAAATGTAAGCATTTTTTGAAAATTTATTTGGAGTTATAATATAAAATTAAAGTTATAGCTAGACATCTTTGAATTTAGAATATATTATGAATGATAGATGTTATTTTACTTGATATTTAATTGGATCGATATGCAACAACCATAATAAAATAAAGTTTGCTCATATGATTTCTAATTAAAATATTGTTACTCATTAAGTGTGCATATGTTATTAAGTTGTACTAATTATAGACGTCTTTATTTACAACTAACTTTTAAATAATTAAAAAGTACAAAAAAATTGATAGCTTTTAAGCTATCGATCACATGAATAGAATAATAATATTAGTTTGTTGATGAAGAATCTAAACTCTAATAATATTAGTTTTAGAAAAAAGATTTTAAAATGTGAGAACTTAATTGAAAAAAAGAGAGGATAAAATCAAATTAGGTAAAAACCAAAACCAAACTGATGAAGAAACACCAAAACCAAACTCATTACGGCATTTAAGATTGTTTTGAAACAAAATACCACGAAATATAATTTGTAAGAAGTCTTGTTATTTTACATGATCAAGTAAGGAAAGAATTTATATAATGTTATATTTTAATTGATTTAGAAATCCTATTAGGATTTTCTATATGGTTTAAACAAGAAAATATTTAATAAGTAAAAGTTTTAGTTGATTTCAAAGTCTTAAATATTAGGAAAATAATTGAATGACTATTTTGTCTAATATAAACTCTATTTTATAAGGGTAAAAAATGCGAACAACATTTCGCTAAGGGTATTCGTGCTTTTAATATAATATAAATAGATTATATACAAAAGATATATAAATTTTATACACTTTTTTTATTATCGAATATAAATAAAATCATATTTGTCCATTTTAATTATAGTTAAATTAAATTAGACAAAGAACGAAAGTGAGTTAGTGGAATGTGGGCCCAACTGGCAAGGTTAAATAAACAAAAAAAAAAAAAAAATTGGACTGTGCTTTATCCATTTATGTAAAACAAACCTTTTGGTTCTTTTCACCTAAAACAACTCTTCCAACACTTCTTACATTAACGTAAACAACCTTTTGGTCTTTTTGGCCTAAAACAACCGTTTCAACACTCCTTATCTCAAAATTTTCAACATTTGGTCAATGTGAACATTTGGAAAGAGAGACCGGTTTGGCCTGCAACCAACAACAACATCAACCTCAAAAAGAAAGAAAAAAAAAGTCATTTGATTTCAAGAATGGAGAGTGTGTTCAGTGAACAAGCCTGGTCCCGCCAACCCAATGGTCTATGGGTTTTTTGGAGTGAACGTGATGATGCAGAGCAGCTTCAGAATCACTTCTCCTTCAGTAAGAACTTACTATATTTGATTTTCTCATAAATTGTAGGGAAGAAGAATTTTTGGTTTTTGGTGGGGTTGAAATTATTTTGATCTTTATACATGGGATGAGAGTCAGCTAAGTATTTTCTGAGATACACTGCCAAATTCAGCTTCATTACTTCAAAATTTTGTTCTTTTTTAATACTTTTGGGATATTCTAGCAGTTTGTATCTATTCTAATAAGGGGAGTCTTAGCGTAATTGGTAAAATTAATGCCATGTGACCACGATGTCATAGGTTCGAGCCGCGTAAACAATCTCTCACACAAATGCAGGGTAAGGTTGCGTACAGTAGACCCTTATGGTCCGATCCTGGATCGTGCCTATAGTGTGAGCTTAGTGCACCTATTTTTTTTGTTTCTTCTTTGTGAAATTCTAGCAATTTGTTTCCATTTTGAGAATCATTGTTGCAATTCAGTTACATACTTTAGGTACAAGATATTCACCACCATGGTTGCCATTGAATTTTGTGCTTGCCACACCTTAGAAGAAGAACTTCTCATTCACTTGAAAATTTATCCTGGATATAAAGGTCTTAACTTTGAATCCTCAACCTATTCTTTATAGTACTGATAACCATTTATCTTGTCGTTTTGAATCGGTGCTAAAGTTGGCAAACCTATATGTTTGGTATGCTAAGGAGAAAATGCCAACCTTTTGTCAAAGTAATTTTGTTTCTGCATGTTACTGTCACTTCTCCGCAAACACTTAATTTTTTTCGATCGTTTTCTTTTCTTTATTACCAATGGCAATGGGCCAAAATTCATTACAATTTATAGTACTGGCTCTGATTGTCATGTATGAGTGAAAGATTGAGGCAGACGTAAAATTTATAGTACTGGCTCTGAGATTATCATTAGTAGTACTGTATCGCGGATTTGAATTCAAGAAAATTCCTTAAATTAGATAAAGGTAACTTAATTGCTTTGGCCAATCAGTAAAATTGTTGCTACAAGCCTTTTACAAAACCTGGGAGTAATATTCTTTGTACTAATACAATATTTGTGTATGCCACAGCTACAGATGTTGTTACTAAACGCATGGTAATCAAGGAAAGAGTTAAGATTGCACTACAACATGTAGAGAAATTATCCTGCAATTATCTTATTCAGTACTGGGCTAGTATTGTAATTGATGGCCAGACTTTCCTAACAACTTCAGATCAGCCTTTTGGTCTTACCAGACTTGAATACGGACTATGTTCGTACAGGAAAAAGTGCCTGAGCCATGCAATTCCTGTTGAGCTGAAGAACAGTACCCAATGTGAAAATGACCTTGGTCCCCCCGGACGTGTGTTCAAACATAGGTTGCCTGAACTATGTACAGACGTGAAGAATTACAGCCAACAAGAGTTCCCTTTACGGGATGATGCTGTAGCCTGGAGCATACAATGGTGCTATACTGTCCCTGTTTTTGATCCATCTCGAGACACCTTTGTCGGGGTACTTGAGTTGGTCACCAGTCACCAAACAAATGAATGGATATTTGGAAACTCTGTCTTGCCCATTTTCAAGATGCTCCAGGTTTTTACGCATACCTTCAGCTTTTTCCAACCTTAAATGTTGAACCTCTAGCTCATCTTGTTTGGCATCCATGATCCCTTTTAATGCACTGTTTTCCTTTCACCCTTTCTGAATAGAAAAAGAAGAGGCGCCAAGAAAAGAGGAAATTAAAACTGTACACTGTATTATTCAACCGCTGTTTATTCTTTTCCACTTTTGACTTCATTTTTTAGGTGGTGGATCTTAAATCTCCAGATTCATATTGTCCGCTTGATTTGAAAGTAAGTTGTCCAGTAGATCAAGCTCTTTTCCAGTAATGTCTCCCTTCGGACCATATTCATTTCCTTTGGCTCTTTTTGTTTAAGCTTCAGTGATATCTCTATCTTGAATTCATATTAACAAAAACAGTCTCAAGGCAGGTTTTGGATGACCGGCAATGTGCTCTTGGTGGATTATACAAGGCAATCGAAGTGGTATGTCAAAAACATCAATTTCTCTTTGCTCAGATTTGGGTCAGTGTTGCTGATTCATGGTGCACTGGAAAAGTTATCACTGTTAGACAACGACACATTGCAATCAACGATAACCAAAACTTAAGTTTATTCAAATATGCAAGTGGTCTTCAGTACATATTAGAAGGATACGGTGTTGTTGGCAGGGCTTTCTCATCAAAATCTTCATGCTTTTGCCGAGATGTAACACGGTTGAGCATAATGGAATACCCCTTGGTAACTTGTGCTCGCGAAGCTGGTTTAACTGGTTGTTTTGCAATCTGTTTAAGTGCTCCCATACTAGAGTTCTTCTTGCCCCCAAATGAGCTTCTGCGTAGGAATCTACAAGACTTCCTGAAGTTAGTTTTGGGCACGGTGAAACAACAGTTGCAACACGTTAAGGTTGCAGTCGGACATGATTTTGGAGAGATGTTACCTGTTGAAGTCATCAAGATTTCTTCTGACGATGAACTTGATTCTTTTGATATCTGTCA